TATATATATATATATATATATATATCAAAGTGACTTTGGTTTTCTGCCATGCATTTAACATTTTTTTTTTTTACACACACATGTAACACTTTTTTTCTTTTTTCTTTTTGGTTTTACTTTCTTTCTCTTTTTTTTTTCCTTTTTTTTTATATATATTTTTCCTTTCATTTTGGGTTGTATTTTATTATTGCTGTTTACATTTTTTTTAATGTGGATATTTTATTAAAGTCGATACTAACATTTTTTCATTTTTTTTCATTTTTTTTTGCAGGGATTCAACCTTTTAGAGCGAATCAAGGATTTTGAGGTTCAAAATTTTCTTCGTGTAGATTTTAATTTTTTTATGTTGCAATTATTTTATGAATTCAGGAAATAAATAATTATGAACTAACTCAAAATTGCTAACTTTCGTACACATTGAAGACCAAGGACTGCCATTTTTCACCATCCAATGCACTTTTGTTGGGGACCAAGGACTAGTTCTTTCGACCGTCCAAAACATTTTGTGTTGGGGACCAAGGACTTGTTTTTTCGACCATCCAAGGCACTTTGTGTTAAGGACCAATGACTGATTCCTTCTATCATCAAGGTACTTCATTTTAGGTACCAAGAACCTGTTCCTTCAACCGTTCAAGACACTTTGTGTTGAGGACTAAGGACCAAGGACACGTTCTTTCGACCATCCAAGACACTTTGTGTTGAGGAGCCAGGACCTGTTCTCTCGACCTTCCAAGGTACTTTTTGTAGAGGCCGCATACATATTTGGAAGACTTGTGATTTTAGACGATAAACCAATTTAAGAGGTTTACTGCCCCCTTTCTTTTTTAGCTAACTTTTTTTTTAGGCATGGCTGGAACAAGTTCTGATGATAAAGTGTACTCTAACATACACGAAATTGTAGAACTTAAAAATCAAGGCAAAAGTTATCTGAGTTTCAAAGATACTGATATGAAGTACCATGCCTAGACTGGCGTGTGAACTTAAATTTAGTGTTCATAAGCCAACGACAGATCATTCTCCTGATCTTCTGGAACCACTGTCAGAGTTGCATATGCCCACCATTAGTGAATGTCACGAGGATTTGGATGCTGGCAAGTCCAACCGCTCTAGCAGTCATATTCCCTTTTTGTGTCTTCCGTCTCATCATTCCCAGAGCATAGAGTGCATCTAAAAGGCTGTAATTTGTGAGATGATTGATAATAGAGAAATACGATGGGGAAATGTATTGGTCAGTCGAGGAGAGATTTCTTTTCTTCCAAAATTTTGGGAGGGAGTGGTCTTTATGGGTCTAAAAACTTCTAACAAGAGGAATTTTCGTGAGTTAGCTCTTGCAGTCGGTTCTGCACAAAAGATTACCATCGTCCAAACTCTATTTATAGAACTCTTTGTGAGGTTTGGTGTTCAGAGACCAACACCTTTGTGATTGTCAATGGTGAAATTGGCAATTCACTTTGGGACATTCGCGAGATAAGCGAACTTTCGATCATGGGTCATTACTATGAGGAAGTAGTCCCAAGCCTTTCGGAGTTGACAGATCATCTTCCCAAGTCTTGTCTATACCTCTTTAATGTTTTCACACTGATTGTCTATGCGAATGAATCTGATAAGATTACTCACGAACAATGGATAAAATTTTGATTTCATGAGAATGGTTGTGTCCAGAATTATCGACAACACAAAAATTATAAGAATGCTATGAATTTAAATTCATTCAAGAGGCATCACCAAAGAGCATCGAAGGAAATACGGAGGCCCGTGGTGGCAGACAAGCCGAGAGACATTACTCATGGAGATCGACGTCATTGGAGAAATTTGCTAATATCTTTCTGTCTATGGAAGAAGAAGATGAATTAGAGATAGTAGCATATCTCTCCCTATGGCTTTGTCGCTTTGTTCTTCCATCTGGGGACGAAAGTATAAGAGTTAAGACCTTTAAAGCATCTTCTAGAATGGCAGGTAGATACACTTATAATCTAGTTCCACCTATATTGGCGAGCATTTATGGTGGATTTACACAAACATCCAACTATCAGACAAACCCAGACCTTGACTCAATTTCACATTCATTTCCTGGACATTTTCTTTATGCTTGGGCGGCAACTTATTTTGTCCGTAGTATTTATGTTCATGTGGACAAGAGTTATTCTCACCCTATAATTCAAAGATATGCTGGCACTTTGAATGCTTTTCAGTCTTGGGAGAAAAATGTTGTTCATTGTCAAGAACTTATCCGTGGAGCAATGAACACCAATGACTTTTGCTGGAATCCATTACCATCGTCGTCTCATCCTGATGTACATATGGATGACCAACCAAGGTCTGCAGATATTTCAGAATTCGTGATAAGTATTCTATCTGGATTTGTTTCTTATCGTCGAGGAAATTCACCTTTCATTCTTGAGGCATATAATCCTCACAGGTTTGCGAAATAATTTAGCTTTAGACAAAAACTTTTCGGTTCACCAAGAAAGTTGAATATCACCCCCTAGTGTAGGAGACATGTATCGGGTTTGGCTGTCATTGACTCGAACGAAAAGTGGGTATGTATTTCATATTTCAGAGTATGTG